TACTAGTCTCACTGCGCGCGCACCAAAAGCGACCTAGTCGACAGGGGAGCGACCTAAAAGCGTCCCGAAAACGACCCAAAAGCGTACTGAATTTTTCTGTACGGGTTTTGGACCAAAATTTTCAAATCGAGTTTTATATTGTTTCCTGCAGTTTTTGGTGTGCTGAACTCAAAAATGACTTCCATTTTTTTCCCACACTCACGCATTACCCAATTTTGACCAATTTTGGACCAAAATTTTGGAATCGAGTTTGACGTTGATCCCAACAGTTTTTTGTGTGCTGATAACGAAAATCACTTCCATTTATACCCCAGACCTACATTTCACTCAATAGGAGCCCACAAGCTGCACATTTCGTCTACTTAAGCAAAGTCCGAAGTGCACAAATTCGCATCGCTCAGCCACACTACGCGCCCACACTAAACGGCGCGTACCCCTAGTTTAACAGTGCTTACGAATGTCCACAGCTAATGTGGTGAAAATGGCGAATGTCCACTAGTGAGGTCACAGAGTGGTTTGCAACATGTCAACACTGTTCCAATCAAATAATAATGACTAATGGTTCCTCTCATCTCAATCCCATCAGGCTAACAATACATATCTCAAAACGGACTCTTAAATATTTGCAAGGGGTATAGAGGTCCTCCAATGCTGACGTCACGAAGCTCACTGAGTGGCAAAACCGCGCGAGAATTCGAATGCGGAGACGGCGGTGGGTCAGGATTTATTCGGGTATGCGAACACGTAAGTAGCTGACTGAGTTTCAAGACTCATTATCACGACTCAAAATATATTTCCTGTAACCAAAGTCTGCGATTTATGCGTCCATTTCTTAAGACATTGTCAAACACCGGCCCCGGCGCCGACTCCAGATTCAAACTCGCGCGCTCCCTGCCACTCAGTGAGGAAAGTGAGGATGGCCCGGTATCGCCTCTATGTTTTAAATCCGACGACAACTCTTCTACCACTGTTCGTAGAATTCCTCTTAAGGAATTTTGAACATCAAACAACGCTCTTTAAATGAATTTCCAGCGAAATAGCGAAAATTAAAGTGGGAGTGGTTTTTGGCCGAGGAAGGCGGTGTGAGTGTCACGTGACCAATGGAGGATCTCTATCAGATCTAAAAAAATTCTTCGTCACCTGAGTCCGATGACGATGGTGAAACCAGAGTCCGATGACGATGGTGAATGGGGCATTTGTCTTCTTAGGCAGCACTTGGCCTTAAAGTCATGGGCCCAACACAGAGTGTGCTGCATGGAGGTTATCAGCATGGATGAGTCCAAGTTCTCCCCAGCTGCAGAAGATTAATGCGCCAATCACCATCTTCATCGGACTCCGATGAGGAAGAATGCTGCTCTTTTAAATCTGATGACCCTCGCAAAGATGTAAGAGTCCATCCTGAAATACGTATTGTAAGCCTGATGCGATTGAGATGAGAGGAAACGTTACACTTCAAACCTAACTGTCTTCTAAGTACATACAAATGCATGCTTGCAAGTCCACACTTACAAACGCATGATTCACGCATGGAGTTATACGGCGCCAGGGATGCGTTTGTTAGTGTGTACTTGCAAGCATGCATTTGTAAGTATGTACTCGGCCAAGCATGCGTTTATGTGTACTTGGAGGCATCCATTTTAAAGTGTGTACTAAGTAGACAGTTAGGTTTGCACTGTAGTCATTATTATTTGATTGTAACAGTGTTCACAAGTTGCAAACCACTCAGCGACCTCATGGGTGGTTGGTTGATTGGGATGGTCTGTGGACTTACGCCTGTTCGCCAGAAAGGTCCATGGACTTACGCCTGATTTTCAGAATGCTCTATGGACTTACGCCTGATTTTCAGAATGCTCTATGGACTTACGCCTGTTTATCAGAATGTTCTATGGACTTACGCCTGTTTGTCAGAATGACCCATGGACTTACGCCTGTTTGTCAGAATGGCCTATGGACTTACGCCTCTTTGTCAGAATGGCCAATGGACTTACGCCTCTTTGTCAAAAACCCACCTGGACTTACGCCTGTTTGTCAAAAAACCACCTGGACTTACGCCTCTTTGTCAAAAACCACCTGGACTTACGCCTCTTTGTCAGAAAACGGGTGGACTTACGCCCCTTTGTCAAAAATGGAATGGACTTACGCCCTTTGGACACCTTCTGTATCTTCTAAACTAATTGAGATATTTTCATTTTTCAAAAACCAGTAGGCTTGCTATTTAATTTTAAATTCTTTTCCGGAAAAAAGTGGATTTTGCCAATTTGTGGACTTACGCCCCTTTGTCAAAAAACCAGTGATCTGCGACTCTGGGATGGCGTTAAGCCTGCTGGTGGCCGCACGCAACCGCTCCGTGACGATCCTTTCGGCGACTTTGGAAATGGCGCTTAAAAGCGCTATGGGGCGGTAGCTGGTCGCGTCGGCCTTTCTCTTGCCGGGCTTCTTCAGCGGAATGGTTTTAGCGCATTTCCAGGAACTTGGCCAGTGTTGCAGAATCAGGATTGAATTAATGATATAAAGCAACATGGCGGTTCCTTTCTTGCCTAAGTTCTTGATGGCTAAGTTGGTGATCCCGTCCTCGCCAGGTGCCTTCTGCTCGGAGATGCTCTTGATGACCTGGCCGAGCTCTTCAGGGCTGCACAAGCGGATAGGCTCCCGGTCGGCATCGTTTTGAGGTGTCCTGCTGGCCTCCGAGGTGTTGAACTCCGCCACTTCCTGCTGCAGGACGGCGGCGGGGTGTAGTTGACGGCGTCTGCAACCGCGTTCAACTTGTCCTCCGTGGTGGTGAGGTAGCCGCCGTTGGTGCGGAGCGGTGGGATGAAGCTGTTGGTGCGTCTTTTCAGCGCCTTGCTTATCCTGAAGACCTTCGGCCAGCCCGGCTTGTCGGTGTTGATGGCCTTCTCCCACTCGTCTGAGGTGTTTCCGCCTGGCGCGCTGTGCTGCCCATGACGCCTGGAAGTAGGCAGTCGGCAGAGCCTCGGCAGAGCCACGATTTTAATGAGGTTTTGCAGACTTGTAGAATTTGGAACGCTGATTCTTATGCTGAAATGTGGTCAAAAAGTTAGCGGCCAATTTTGAGAAATTTGCTGTCAAAATCGCCGTTTTCATGGCAAAACTCGACTCGTCAAGGGAAAAGAAAGGGAGTGGGGGGAGCCGAGCCAGGGCGGACCAATAGCCGAGCCTTGTTTTGGGTCTGTACAGATTACTCCAAAAGCTGAAAGAGCACGTCCGATCCGAAAAATCTCTTTGACTGCAGCTAAAGAAGAGGCAACAATAGAATTGGTGTCGTTGGTGTCGAACGTAGTTTTTCGGGAAAAACTACCCAATAATACTTCTAGATCGGAGTGTTTTTGGACATGCGCAGTGGAGTTGCAACCTGTTTAACAGTTTAACCAACTGTAGCATTTGAAATCTGTATTAATTTTGCTCTCTTTCTTGTTTTATCTTTGTTTCCTGCTTATAAAAATTCATATAAAACAAATTTTCAATTTTATGTGATAACTTTCTAAAAACATTTGTTGTTGTTGTGATTCAGTTAGCACTAGGACCACTTCGCTCCACCTCGCGACTTGCAGTGCTCATGTTCCTCGAACAAGACTCACCCGCGTTTCGAAACCATCCCTCCCGAGTTTATGAAGTTTGTCAAACCAACCGTCGTGGTGTTGATACGTTGTGAGGGAGAACTATTACACAGAATTGAAGAAAACATGACAAAAGAACCATAGCCTTTTGAAACAAGCCAAACAATTCAACGTCAGCAACAATGGAGGGGCAGTTTTAATGCGCGACTGCTGGTGCTTTCAGCTTCGCGATTTTCGCAAGGGCGCAGACGCCGAGAAACTAGTTGCCAACCCGTGAAAGTTAATTTACTGCCTTCTTTCTGCTAAGAACATTTTAATAATGATGGACTTCAAAGATGTTCCATTGTCAGAACACTGCGGAATACATAAGCATTGGAATTTTTTGAATTTACTAGCAATTTGATTTCCATTTATTGTCGAGTTTAAATTTTGATGGGCGGCACATGGACCACATTGGTACCACTTCTATTGGTAGGCCCCTCACTGCGAAGGCGATACTTAAGTACATTTTTTGGTGATACAATTGAGTATCGCCAACAAACGGCATTACGGAAAAGTATTGCCCTCAGAACGGCGATACACAGAAGTATCGCCAGAATTTGGCGATACTTTTGGGTACACTGTTAAAAATCCACTGTAATATTACAACACAATCACCTACAGCAATGCTGTTAAATACAACAGTATTGTTTTGGGTCTGAACGGGAAACCCATCCAGAAACAACACTTTCGTTTTACACTGCTAGAAATTTTTGTAAATTTACGAAATATTTTAGCACGAAACATTTCGTAAAACAGTCCTTAAAAAAGGTGTCTTGAAATTTGGAGATTATTCCGTACTTTGACAATATAAATCTTGTATCAGCCACAAAACGATATTTGTGATATTTTTAGAAAACATTTTGTAGACAAATGAAACAGTTGTGAAAATGACAAAATACGTCGTAGAGATTGCCAAAGCCAGCTGTTCATCGAGCTTCAAATGCTCTTGCAGAGCTGTGGCAGCTGCTGCCGGCGGGCCAGAAAGTCCTGGTTTAGAGTCTCCGACGAACATTTTTTTCTCAGCACTATTTGCTGCATGCTAGGGAGCATGTTACTTACAATTATCACAAATGTAATGGAATATTTTTTAGAATTGCAGAGTATCTTGTAAATTGATGTTTACAAAGAATTTTTGAATTTCACGGCATATTTCATCAACAACGTTTTACAAAGCTCTCGTTTATAAAAATTTCCAGTGAAATCTTTGTAAATTTACGAGAAATTTTCGAACAGTGTATAACAACTTCCTTGTCAAGTAACAGTAATGTAATCGTGATTTAAAACAGTTGTGATGTCGTTGAACAGGTTTCATGTTTAGAAACAGCCTTTTGCAATCTTAAAACATATATTGTTGTCAGGTTACAAGGGTCTTGTTTAATAACAGCACGATGGAATCGACACAAATGTTGGGAAGACATCGTCGAAGACTCCAAAGAAGTATTGTTTTATTACAATTGAACTGTCAGAAAACAGCACCGCGGGCTACAACATGCTTGTAATAAAACAAGTCGTGCTGCTATCAAACTTAACAGCATAAGTGCTGTTACTTTACAGCACTTTTTGTAACAGTGTATCGCCAAAACTGCGGCATTAAACTAAGGACTTCTCCCCTTGATTTGTTCAACGTTTAATGCCAAATCGTGGCTATACTCCAAAGTATCGCCAAATTTTGGCGATACTTTCGTGTATCGCCGTTTTGACGGCAATACTTTTTCGTAAGGCCGTTAATTGGCGATACTCAATTGTACACTGTAAAAATTAATGTCCGGAATAAACGACGGATCCTTCGAGAAAATAATTGCCAACAGTTCCTTCGTTAATTTACGAAAGTCTTCGTATATTTACAAAAACCTTCGTTAATTTCACTCTACCAAAAATGTCCTGTAAACACCGTTAATTTATTACCAGAATTCACCGTGCCTGGGACCCAAAGATTACCGTGAAATTATTCTCAATATTTACCGTGCTTACAAAGGAGGTGTGCACCGTAAACCATCAAACAGTATTTACCGTGATCTATTCCTCAATGAATACCGTGAAAATTCCACCGTGACCTGGGCATTGAAAGAGGGGGGTTGGAGTGCCAACCAGATGATAAAATTGGTGGTAATACACGGTTAATTTATTACCAGAATTCACCGTGCCTAGGGCCCAAAGATTACCGTGGCTAGAGGCCAGTTAGCCAGATACAACTACAAGAAGGAGATTCTTGCGCAGCAAGTGATAAATGTAATGTTGCGAATCCTAACAAATGCAGACTTTGGAAAGAGGCATTGAGGGTCTCATGAGGATGTAGAGTAACAGAAATAATGGTAAGCTCTTTCTGTCATAATGCTTGAACGATCACAAAAGTAGAGGGAAACTGAGGGGGAGGAAATACCTTCTAGTGTTGTTCTTCTCCATAAGCTGGTAAAGAAGATGACTCCTGCTTTGGTCTCCATCTAGTCTGGAGGATGAAGCACTTTTAATCCAAAGGCACTGTTGGCAGCTCCCCACATTGTCTGTGTGTAGAATGCACGACAAGACTTTCTTTCGACAAGTGCACACGCGTTTCAGCTGCTGACTAGGAGAACGGTAACGAAAGGACTTTTAACCTTAGTCCAACAAAGTTTCTGAGTAAAATGTGGACCCAGAGATGGGTTTACAAAGTTGACACAAGCACTGGCTGCCGCCATGGTACTTAAACTTCGTCACTGACAACACTCGCCAACTCTGTTGAAGCGATTCAGCATTGGCAAAGTAAATTTGAACAAGCAAAATCGTTCGAGAAATGTACGGGGCGCGCTCGCGCTCTCAAGTCAAACAAACAAACTTTGTGTACTGCAAATACATATTAATTATTCACCCTTCAATAGTGCTATTTGCACTGGCCAATGGAAACCGACCGAAAAAATTTTCCACGCCTCGCAATCTTATCGTCTTTTTCTTGACTATAAGGCATAAAAGGCAGCGATGCCCGTCTTGATCAAGTTTTCTCGGTGAAGATATTGGGTTTTCATCTTGAATTGCTACCTTATCTTCAGTAATAAGCGCCTTGTGTTTTCGGCCGTCCCTCCGTGCAGTCAGACTCGCCAGTGTCGCCGTCGTCTGCTGTGCTTTGCTCGCCGGTTTGCAAAACAAAAACAACAAGGTTAAGCCTAAATGTTTCCTAATTTTAACTCATACCCAGCACTCAAACGCGAAGTTTCGGGGTGAAGGACTTGACGTTAAGAGACGGACGCCTCTTCCTCTGTCATACACCGCGTCAAATCGCATTTCTTATGTTTTGAAGTAAGATTGACATTGCGTCGTCCTGTCCTAGTCGTCCTGAGCTGTCGTCTTCGTCTAACTTTCCGTAAGTGCGACACGATTGATGCGATATTTTCGTTCGCTATGCATGCGTCCACTATCGCTAACGTCTCGCAAACGCCGCCTATGTCGTTGCCTCCGATAATTTTTTTTATTTTTATTTTGCCTGTCTTGCCAATTCTAACCACTTGTTGCTCGTCCAGAGACACACGAAAAAGTCTCCCTTATCTCAGCTCTTGATTCAGTTTGCTACTCACGTTTTAATGCTCGACTTTTATTTGTTTTTCTTGTTTTCTGTTTCTCTTTAGTATATAAATGCAGCTTTATGTTGCATGTTTTTCTCTGTTAGAGTTCCTTCATGAAAACAAACACCTCTACCTGGCCATTTATTTAACTTGTTTTGTGCAGGTACAGCTGCTGGTTCCAAGATCAAGGCTCCATCAAGGCTCCATCAAGGCTCCATGGGTCTACAAGGAACGGCTTTGGATCGCAGCTGCAGCAGTCGTCCCATCTACCACTCAATGGAACAAGACGTACCTTTGCTGGGTAAGCTAATCATAGGACTTTTATCGCAATCTTTCGTTATGGTTGGAGTGGCCTAAGTGTTGGGGAAACACTATTATAAAATGCACAGAGATAATAATAGGAGCAAAGGAAAATTCATTCAGTTTTGTTTCTCTCTGCTAAAGTTGCACTCGGGTGCATGTGAATCAGAACCAAAGCTTGTAGCGAGCACCCATTTAAATTTTGTAGGATTTAATAATATTTAGTTTATTGTCTTAGGTTGGAAAACAACAACATTAATTTGTGTTTGCTGTCAACTCAAGTTCATCAGTGGGTAGTTAGTTTCTGCTGCAAACATGTGTGTGGTACCACCATGGTGCCACTGCCTCTCACCTTTCTTATTTTTCCCTCGTCTCTGTTTCCACAGGGCCTTCCTGGGCTGCAGGCTGGTGGTCATTATCAAACCTTGCCGAGCTTCAGCCGCTGCTGTTCATCTTCCCTCCACATTAGCGTCCAGCACTAAAGGTACTCAGTTGAAATCCTACTCTCCCCCAAGAGTGTTTGTTTCTTTTTTGTACTTCATGTTTCTTTACAAAAGGTGTTGTCTGTTGCAGATTGTGCCATACTGTGGAGGGAGCGACTGAAATCTGACCCATCTGAAGAAGGACTCTGCCCTGTGATTTTGTTCATTCCTTCAAAGAAGCAACTCACTGTGTTACCATTTTTGAATCGCATCTGAGGCCATCTCTATTACTGTAGCACTTAAAGTGTATTCAATCATTGTATAGTGTGTTAGCTTACAAGTTGAATATCGAGTCTCTTGTAGTCCTTCAATAATTTGCATATGTATTTAAATTTTTATTCAAGCCCCAGAGAAGAGTTCTCTCTGCCCTCTAAAGTCCTGAGTAATTTCTGTGCTGTTTCACATTTGGATAAACCTCAGTCAGAGTTAGCAACCAGACTTCATTACATTGTAAAAAATACTTTGTTGATTTCATGTACAGAGTACATCATTTATTGATTTCTGTAGGTATAAACAGTTTCACTACCTGTTAAGCTTTTAGTCTTATAAGTTGATGACAAAGTTCATTTGTTACTAGGTAATCATTTGATTTACATAAATTATTATTATTATCTCGCAAATTGAAAGATGATATTTAATAACATTGGAAATTTGCTCTAGTTTATGTGACTCTTGTTTTAATCTATTTGTTCTCATTTCATAGTCAAGAGTGTAAATTGTTATTCATGTTTAAGTCTATTTTAATTGGAAAGCCTGCTTGTTTGTAATTTTACATAGCTTTTGTTAATTCATATACTGTTTTCTTTATCTAGATGCTCTCTGATAAAATTCTATACTTTTCTTGGAATTTTCTGATGCCATTAATAAGTCTTAAAACTATTGGGGTCATAACTAGCATGGGTTCGGACAGTCTTGAGCTGGTCAGTTTACACACAATCCTGAAACAGGAACAATCAATGTCATGTAAAGTTTGTTTTGGATTTGACAATTTTTTAAAATATTTCTTACCTTTCAAGGAACTCAAAAGTGTGTTTTAGGCTGTTGGGATAATGAGTGCTGAAGATGAAGGCTGCCTGAATCACGCTTTTTATTGCATCTTCACTTGTGTATGCCTCTAGCACTAATTGTTGGTCGATGCAGACAAAAAACTTTGTTGCCAAAAAGATGTTTTGATCTGGAACAATGTATATTGGTTGTGTTAGGTGGCTTAGACCGTATATCTGGTTAAAAGCCTTTCATATTGAATGTGTAATCTTTTACCACATGCACAATTTATTTATTCGTATTTTGTAAAACTTACTTAAAGCAACTACTGTTGGAGCTCCTGAGATTCCTTCCAAGCGATGCACTTCCGTTGGTGGAGTGGTCCTCTAGAAAAAGGGATAGTAAAAAAACAAGTTAAGACCCAAGAAGCCAATTGTTAAACATATTGGGATTATTGTAATTTGGCATAATATTTACCTCAGCTTTTAGGAAGAAACTCTTGATGTCTTCTTGAAAGTAAGTTGCTATCATGGTGACTGCCAGCATGAATCTTGTCTTAGGGTTGGAGTTTGCAGCCTCCCATTGTTTTTTTAAAATGAGGCATTTTATTGCAGTGTCTGTGTTGTTAGTTAAAAGATAATCCATAATTAGTGTTAAATGTTCTTCTGCATACTGAGCAATGGCTAAATCTATTGGTGCTGCTGTCAGCTGCAAGTAGTGAGCACTCTGCCATTTTGTTTGAAACAGGAAAGGCCATTCGTCCCTGAGTCTCTGAATACATTGTTGATTATTTTCTATAATTAAAAAAAAATAAATTATGCAGTACTTTTAAACTTATAACTTAAACCACAGAGGTTCATCTACATTCTTTTGCATACCTGGAAGATCCGCATCTTCAGTTTCTTCTTCTTCAATGATTCTTGTACCCTGAACAATGTCTTGCCTTTGCAGACCGTAACTCTGATGCATTAACTTGTCTATTTCAAGAGTAGGCCACTCGGTTTCTCTACACGTGTGAAATATTTCACTTAGACGGTCTTTCATATCTTTCTGATCACTAATGAGCAGTTCTCGCGAAATGGTTAATTTTGGGCCCTGAAACTTTTTGAAAAAAAGTTCAATTGAAACCGGGTTTTTTGCATTTATCTTGTTAAGAACATCACTAGGGATCATGGATTCATCGGGGCGAGCTATCACCCCAATATTATAGGAAATATCGCAATTTTAATTTTTTTGCCGTCCACGGAAATTACACAGCCTCAGAAACTGTCCACGGAAATTACATTTTAATGGGCCCTTAGAATAGGTGCGATACGAACGCAAACGCCTAGCAGTTTAGGCATCTCCCTCCACATCTGTGCATTCTGGTTCCATGTTGCGTACCTCACAATAAAATTTCGGGCTAGACCACAATTTGATCGTATGCCTTTTCGGGCCCGACACATGCCCGCGTGCACTGCCAAACGGGACACGGCCGTCCTTACTGGGGTGCCACGTTATACTGGCGGAGAAGAACCTATGCGGCTACAAGGTCCCGTGTGATTCCGTGCGTAGGGGGTCATTTCAGGTCACCGGGGCCTTGCGCCTGAACTGAGGTTGATTTGGTAGCTCTGGCAATTCAAATTTGTTTTACTAAACGAAGACCATGTCCTCATGTGGATAAGTCAATCTAACTTTTGTTTTTCTAGGTTTCGTAAGCTGCTAAAGTGTCGTTTTGTAAGTTCCGTCATGGTCACCAACACCTATAAGACAACATTGCCATGCTGTAGCATATGACTCAGCCACATCAAAAGAAAACTGGCTATTTCACTCTCTTCCCTGACTTATTCTTCGCAAAATTACGGAAGGTGACCTTTGTATCATCACTTGTTAAACCCGAAACAGCCTATGGGAAAATGTCCACCGTGTGACCATGTGACCTATGCTGCTTTCACAAATGACGGTCTACTGGGGTTCCTTTTCGTTTTAGAACCTCGCGACCACTTGGGATCGAAAGAACATAAAAAACGCTTCCAGAAGCCCGTGCCCGCGGGACATTGGGCGGTCAAACGACGCTTCCAGGCCGTCAGAATTGTTAAAAACGGTAAGGGTGTAAAAATAGATGTAAATTCCGTTTCGGGCCGTAGCTCCTATATCTGAGGGAGAAAATTTCCACAACCTTCGCTGAAAAACGCTATTTTGGATGCTCAAAATGACACCGTCAACAGTTTTTACCTATCTTGTAACCCAGCGGGTCAGGAGACGAAACACTTCGCTTTGTAAATTCCGTAATCTGTAAATTCCGTCATTATTTCTGTAATTTCCGCCGTATTTCATAAGGGGTGAAATTAAAAGTCAACTTGTAGCGCTGCCACGCTCAGAGGGGTACTGTGGGGTACTATGTATGCCATCTACACCAAATTTAGCCCCTAAAGTTGAACTTTAAAAAATGAACATTTGGTACATCCAAAATGACCCTCTACGCACGGAATCACCCTCCCACTCGTAGTGTGACCAGTATGTGACGAGGTATACATTCCCCCCCCCCCCCCCCCCCCCGGGGGGGACCCTAGAACAGCCTCTTTGAGCAGGACTGGGTCCGGTGTCCACCTCTCCCGGCTCAATTCCCTTGTCTCGGGAACAACTGTGAATTCATTTTCTTCTGACCACGGTTGCATAGTGTTTACCTCCCAGGCGGTACCTCTCATACTTGGCAAATGATGGGCCCTACAGTGGACAACGGAGGAAAGTCCCTCTTGATCAGCTCCTGCGTGTCTATGTTCGGAAAATAATTAATAATGGGTGCGATCAGTTAAGGAAAAGTTGATCGGCGGGTCGAGACAGCGGCCCGCTCGCGGTGCGGTCTATTTAGCCCTCCTGGAAGCATATCTGGCACCCACGTTTACTAACCTATATTTTCAGAAAGATTACTCTTTGAGTTTGAGGAACAGATTGCTGCAATTTATTCGATAAACTGGGTCTTAGCATTCGAACGGCAAGCTAAGGAAAGACGTCATGTCGCTTAACATATCGGTCAGGTTAAGTCTAGCGCAAGTCTTAAATGGTCAGCTAGATCCCAAAATACAGCGAGCCTATTTTTCGCAAGACTCTAAGCTTTCGGTTAAGTTTTCCGATCTGAATAATCAACGTTGAACGGTTTCACTGACTCGCAGTCACAACTGTCAAGGCAGTATGCCGGCCGCGCCGAACAAAGCAGCATAAAACCGCTTGGTTGTCCAGAAAATACAGTGTTTGACCAATCTGATGAGTGGAGTCGAAAGCTTAGACTCTTGCAAAAAGTCGGCTCGCTGCTCGTTTGGGTCCATTTTGTGACTTGCGGCGGGTTTAACCTGATGGATGTTGTGTTAAACTACGCCACGACTTTCCTCAGCTTGCCTTCCCATTCCCCATGCCCATTTCCCTCCAGAATGGCATTCCCTCCATAAGAGAGGTTTAAAACAGAAAAATATCGACGTACTTTTGAGCTGAGGCCCCTTGCGAGGCCAAAATCACGTGAAACGCAACGAAAACCTCATTTTGTCCACGGAAATTACAGTCCACGGAAATTACATTATTGCATGATATGGGGTGGACAAGCCAAACCAGAAGTGCCACCGGAACCAAAATTTTACTGGAACAACTTGTCCACAAGGCAAACACACAAGGATTGGTTCGCAATCAAAATTTTGAATGGTCTGCAAGCAATGGGTGGAACGGAAATTACACTTATTGCTTGCTAGGCCATTTTTTTCGCCGCTTTGGAACTTATTTAACTTCATATTTTCCGTTCTAATGGTGCCACATTACTCCGCCACTTTGCAAATTGTGTAGAACCAACAATATGAGAAAAGTTTCAGAACGATCGCACATAAGGTAGAAAAACCGTCCCAAAAAAACCGATTTTAGACTTTTTGAATTTTAGTTGTGGAAGACAATTTTCGGAATCATCTTGTGTCTGCAAATTTTACCCGAGAGATACGTTCTACACGTCAAAACGTAGCCTCCCTTGCGTAGAACAAAATGCACTTTGCGAAAGTGATTTCTCATACTCCCTTGGGCTGTAGTAGAGGCGGGAAGCCCCAAATCTGGAGCGTAGGACATCAAAAAGTGTCCACGGAAATTACATTCTAGGGTAAAACTTGCAATTTAACGGTGAAAGGAGGCAAAATTTCATCTTGATGAGAATTGTACCTTGTCCGCAAGGTCAAAAAACATAAAGGTAGGAAAAGACCCGGTTAAAATCGACTTAAGGTTGGAAGAACCAGAGAGAGGACACGAAATTATCACATCTCGCGAGAACTGCTCTAATCTCCTCTTCGTCCAAATGGGGGTTAAACATTTGCTCTTGTACAACAACCGCTCCAGTTGCTATGGCTGCATTTGGGTGCACACGTTCAACATTCGGAACAGAGCGCCCTTTGTGCTCCATCATGTGAGCAAATGTGTGAAGAAATGTATTGTATCCGTTGTCAATCATTTCTCCATCTGACATGACCTTCATACAGAGTGGGTATTTGTCTGTTACCACCTGACAGGTAATGGCCCTGTAGACTAACATCCCTGCAGTTTTTGTTCTTACTATGTGGTGTTCTTTAAAGTCTTCGTACTTTGCAAATAAATCAGCTGCAAGCCATTTTTGGCCCGTCCCGTTTATTTTTTGTAAAAAAATGACGGAGGGACGGGCATATAGTATGATGCATGCTGTGCGTCCGTTCGTTCGTTCGTTCGTTCGTCCGTTCGTTCGTTCGTTCGTCCGAGGACTTCCCGTGGTCCGATCTTGACCAAATTTGGTATGCAGCCTCCTTGGGTGACCCTAAGAACCGCCCGGTGGCAGCAAATCCGATCCGAGCCCCGGGGGCGCTGCTGCAGGTGCATTATGGTCTACATGGGGTCGAGGAGGATTTCAGCAACGGATACAGCTAGCAGGGCATGTAGGGGTATTTTTGGAATGGGGGCGACGAGACAAAACCAATGGTGCCAGTTTCAAGCGAATCGGAAAATTTGGGGCCCGGGGTTCAAATCCCAGTGGGGTATTTTTTGAACATTCTTTTTATTCGAGTTTTTGCATTGTTTCTTTGTTTGTGGGGGTGCTGATGACAAAAAATAACATTTTTTTGACCCCAGACTCAAGTTCAAACCCGTCAGGGTTAAACAAAGGCGAATTCACACATTTGTTAATGCACGGGACGGGCCAAAGTTGCCGATGTATATCGCTACTTTTCCTGTTATTGAAGCTTTGTAAGTACATCAGCATTGACTTGTGCTCCTCTACTTTCAGCATCATCCAATGCATTTACCAATGCAAGAGGAACTTCTTCCCATTGAACATTATAGGCAAACACTGCCTCTCGCCTTGCAGTTCCTAAAGTAAAGAAGGAAAATAATTATTTGTCCTCACAATTTCGTTCGAGTTGTGGATTCAGCCACAAATTAAAGAAAAAGTCACCTTCGTTTCCAATGGTAGGAACGGGCTGACGAGACAACCTTGACCTGCTGGCTCTGGAGGTGGTTTTTCCAACATTTGCAGGCCGCTTACGTTGTGACTGCATGAATACATGTTAGTTTGAGGAGCTCTATTTCACCCTGACCCTGAGACAAGCGGTCAAAAATCACTATACATACCATTTTAGGAATATCAGAGTTGTACAAAAGCTTATGACTTCACAGAAAAACGTTGGTTTCAAAATCGCGCCCAAATGTGCCCGCGCTTCATGTGCCAACTTCCACATAGTAATACTACGTAGCGAATTTCAAATTTTTAAAATGAAATGAGACTCTTTTGCCTTCTTAATATGAAGAAAAAAATATTTTTTGACAAATTAATTATTAATACAGGCTATTTTGGCGCAGAATTTAATTTTTTAAGGGAAATTCTTAGTTTTTGGTTAGGTTGGCGTCTTGGAGAACCCAGTCGGCTCTGCCTGATTCGATTTTGGAACGGCAACACGGCATGTTGATAGTTTCAAATCTTGTTCACAAACAATACAGCGATTTGGGTAAGAAGAGTTGGTTGTTCTCTTTTTAGGTTTTGACTTTATGTTCAGTATTTTCGGTTTTTGCCATGTCTTTTTTGCTGCACAGAAATTCGTTATACTGCCTGCAATGTAGAGAAAAGAAGTCTCTTGTCCAGTGTTGTTGACCGTGTCTGTCGTGCTTCAACGTTAGGTAAAATTGAAAATTTATGGCCTTCTCAGTTTCAGACGCAGTGTTGTTCAAATCAATAAATTCAGTTCACATGTCCTTTTTTTTTTTAGCTCACCATGGGGATATCTTTGGAGCAGTATCGGCTGAGAGTGGGTTTGTACCCTGGAGGAGGGACTGGTTCAGCCTCTCTCAAAAGTTCTACAACACCAATTGGACATGGAAGGCTAGCCCTGATTTGCCTACTTTTGCTGCTCCTCATTTCTGGCATTGAACCAAACCCAGGTCCGCAATACACTTGCAAGCAGTGTCACATTGTATCAGGTTCTGTTGAGGCATACTTCAATCATCAGAAAGAGAAGCATTGCAATGTTTCTTGCCTCAATGAAGACTGTCAGTTTAAAACTTCAAATTTGGCTCTTTATTCGGTTCACTGTAGCAGAAATCATGCATCAAGCAGCTCCAATCCATATCCTGATGTCATGTGCCCTGTACCAAATTGCCAGATTCCACAGAGAAAAAGTATGAAAGAACATTTAGAAGAACATTTGGATCTTAATCAGTCTTTTCAATGTCCTTTCGGTGAAGCTTGCAAGGCTGTCTTCACAAAGAAGCAATCCTTCCGGACACACCTCAGCCAGGTCCACCAGCCCAAGATGCAGCCTAGCAGTAAAGCCAGTACGCCGGCATCAGCTTCTGGAACTCAAGAAATACTGCTACCTCCTAATGAGTTCCCGCCAAACAAAATTAAGTATGATGTGGCTAAATTTTATCTTGCTTTGGAAGGCTTCAAAATACTACCATCTAAGACAGTGCAATTCATAAGTGAGGCAGTTGCATTTTTCACTGAAATGTCTCACCACTGTTTGAAGAGAGCATTTCTGACTCAACTGTTCAATGCTGGTATTAAGAAAGAGGTAATTGACGTTGCATTACGGAAGACTTTCTGTGTTGACCCCATCTTCAATATGCATCACAAAGGCCACGATCCAGATCAAGTTAGCACGATATATTTCAGAAGCCAGCAGCTACAAAAATATTTTGCCTACGTTCCTTCCATAGAAATTCAGTTGCCACGTGTTGAAGGCCAGAAAAATAGGGTAACTAGATATGTGCCTCTGAGAGCAAGTCTGGAAAGTGTCTTTCAAGATTCTAAAGTTAAACGTGAAGTTCATCAGTCATTTACTCGAGGGAAAGACAATGTATCAAAAGGCATTTTGGAAGACTTCATGGATGGCTCTGCCTTTCAAGAACATTTAGTTGAACATGGATTTCACAAGTGTATTCAGCTAATTTTTTTCATAGATGCTCTGGAATTTAGCCCATTTGGACCAGCAAAAGGGCTCTACAAGACTCATGGCGTTTACTTCACCATTGGAAATATATCGGCTGAATTTCGATCCAAGATTGAAAATATTTTGATGGCGGCTCTGATCCTAGATGAAAATCTCAAGTCCACTGAAGAAGAGCATTTGAGTGGTGTGGACAAATTTGAACAATCCTTGGGCTTGCTCATCAAGGATCTAAAGGATCTGAAATCGAATGGAATCTTAATAGATGAAGAAATGTTTCCAGTTTGCTTTTTATTTTGTACTGGTGACAATTTAGGTGCAAATCAGTTGGGATCTTTTATTCAAAGTTTTATTGGACACTGTTGTAGGTTTTGCACCATATCTATGAACGATTTCAAAGATGATCCACTCCAATCCAGAGAACTTCGCAATCCAGAGAATTATGATCAAAGTGTTAACCTGGCTAAGCGAAAATGGGACGCCTTAAAAGAGAAATCTATCAGCTTCCAAACAAAACGAAGAAGGATTCAAGCTCAACAAAAGGCAGCAGGTCAAGAAGTGTCAAAACCAGTTTCTGACTCAAAGGTTTCAAAATCTGCACTCAAGAAGCTTCAGCAAACTAACCATATGGGGGTAAAACCATTTCCTTCAGTTCTGAACCAAATTCCTGGATTCCATGTTGCCAAGAATGGCCTACCCAGCTGCCTTGCTCATGACATTTTTGAGGGTGTAGCAGATATCATATTGGCCGGAATTTTGAAGCATTTTATTGAGACAAAGAAATGGTTCTCCTTGTGCACACTTAACAGGAGAATTCAATCTTTTAAGTACAAAGGAAAAGATGAAGCTGATGCTCCAAGTAAAATCAAGTCTTTAGACAGCATCAACGGCTCTGCAGTAGAGACTTGGACTCTCATACGTCTGCTACCCTTCCTCATAGAAGACCTAGTGCGGGATAAAGAAGATGAATATTGGCTACTTTACCTGGATTTGAAATCAATCACTGAATATGTTTGTGCCCCTAAGATAAGCAAAAAGCAAGTGGCTTATCTCAAACCAGCTATTAACGCTTTCTTAAGTGCCTTGAAGAATCTTCTCCCAGAATGTTTGACCCCTAAGGCACATTTCTTATCCCATTATCCTGCACTTATTCTCATTTATGGGCCCTTGATCCGACTTTGGACTATGAGGTAAATATCTCTGTTGAAAACTGTACTTTCTTTGTCACTTGAAAGTTTTCTCAGGATACATTTTTGATGGTTCTAATTGCTATTTTTTTTATTCTTTTCATAGGTTTGAAAGCCGTCATGTCTTTTTCAAAGCGGTTGCCAGAGCATGCAGGAGCTTCAAAAATATTCTCTTAACTTTGGCAAAGAAATATCAATTCAGATTTGCTTACGATCATCTGTCTGGTTTCATTCCTCCTGATGTCATCTATGAAGAAGGTCCTACTGAAGTGAATATACAAGAAATGCCAACTGAGGTACAGGACAAGTTAAAGGGAAGAGCTGCCCCAGAGAGTCAAGAATCAAAATTAAAATCTGTTCATGAGGTGGTCATTAAAGGTGTACTGTTCAAAAACAATCAGTGGATGATGTTAGATAAGGTAGATGTAGTAGATCTTAAGGCTGGACAGATAATGAAAATTCTTGTTTACCCGAATGACAATATTCACCTTGTAATGCGTGTTTATACCGCAGAGAAAACACCTAATGGGTACTATGTAATTAATGAGTCTCATTTTTCTTATGAA